CCCCCCCCATTCTTTCACGATGAAGATCGGATATAGCTGTTAAGTTTTTTTGTTGTTGTTGTTTGCTTGCTTGTAAACATGCATGTAACTTCCTTTCTCGGTTCATTAAATCATGGTCTACTTTTTATCGGTCGGATCTACTTTTAATTTGATTTGACTAGCTGACTTTTCGGGGGGGGGGACTTTACGCCCTATGCAACATTTTCTTGCTTTGACACCGAAAGTTAGGCCTATTAATGCAATTGAATGCTTTGATTTTACTTATTTATTTTATAGATTTTTTAAAGTATACTTTGTTTTGATTACCAGACAATGTATGCGTAATCCCACAAATGAAATTCAAACTAAATAAATACACTCATGAAGAAAGGTCAACATTTGTTCGGGGTAATCCTTGTGTACCTTTGTTTAAGTTTTTGAAATTTGCTGAACAATGTGGTGGACATAAGGTGATTTAAGAGTATATACGCTTATAGAATTGATTTGTTTGGAACACATCATGCATGTATATACAGTATATATATATTTCTTAATGTATTTTGTTGCGTATGTGCTGTAAATGTACGAAATACATTAGAGCAGCTTTCAGCGCCCCAAGTGGCTAAGTGGTAACTCTGAAGGCTCACACTGCTAAAAGCCTATTTAATACAGATAGCTCATTGTGTAGCTTTGTGCTTAACAACAACAACAACAAAAAAAATATTTATTAACCTTATCTAGTGAATGGTGGGTCAGTCATTCTTGGGGCATAATAGGCCCTAAACATTTAAACGTAGCTAATGATTGGTAATAAATTATTTTGAAATTTTTATATGCTTTTACAACATTCATATATAATTTTAATGTATAAAATTATGTAGGAATAATGAATGGTAGGCCAATCAGTCTTGGGGCATAATGGGCCCTAAACATTTAAACGTAGCTCGTCTTTTGTATTTAGGTATTTCTTCTAAGTTAAGCAGAAAATACTTTCAAGTCTTTTCTTTGGTAGCCGTTGTCGTTGAGCATACAAAAGTAACTTCAATCATTGTTTCATTTTTACCTTCTCGTTTCCATTGTAAACTGAATGCAACAGCTTATATTATCAGAGGCCAAAAATAACATTTTACAAAAAGGGTTGAGATGTTTAATTCTTATTTTGGATATGCCATTTTATTGAGGAAGTACCTTGGGAATGAGTGTATGTTTTGGTGAGTGTTTTTAGTGGTTTGTTATCTATATCCACAATCACGAACAACGAGCAATAATAACGACTCAGTGTATAACTGAGTTCTATATTTTCTATAAAGTTTGATCGCTACACTCATATCTGTATAGGTTAAAATGATTAACGTTTAAATCGATTTCCCGAACTTGTTCTCACTGTTGTAACCAGACGTTAGTTATTTAAATAGTTTGTTGTTGTTTTAATAAGGATGTCTTTATACATGTGTTTGACTGTTTCAAACCCAGGTAGTGATATCGACGCAAGTATCGGTTGATGGCCCCCTACTGGCGGTATCTGACAACATGTTTGTGCACAACAACTCCAAGCATGGCAGAAGAGCGAAAAGACTTAATCCCGCCGAAGGTAATTTATGACCTATTATATTGGAACGTTATGTTTTGTTCGAAATTACGAAGAAAATGAATGATTAAGATTCAGTAGCTGAAAAGTAAGTGTATGATAAATGCAATTATAAAATCATAAACATTTTTCGAAAATTTGGAATTTCTTACGATTAATGTTATCGGTAGCTGGCGCTATCGTGTATAAACATATGTCCCGAACACAGGTATTTTTTATATAAAAATTGTCCATTTTTGAGAAGTTTTATAAATTGATATAGGGTTACTGAACTTATAAACAAAATCTCAATAATCGAGGGAAAAACTCAGAGTGTTAAACTAACTTGAAATTTGTTCAACATGGAAAGTTTCCAAACGTCCATAATTTCATGCCAATTGTTTAACTTATGTATATATATATATATATATATAACACGCCCTTTTACAGTTCCATTTGCTGTTACTCCGTGTATTAAAGCCATCAGTCCGAGTGAAGGATGGACGACAGGGGGCAGCACCGTAATTATCATCGGTGAGAACTTCTTTGATGGTCTTCAAGTGGTATTTGGTACCATGCTCGTGTGGAGTGAGGTGAGAACCGCTAGTCTTTAATCGTATTTGTTTCAACACCATTAACTGTTAACTGTGGCACAGCGATATGTCTGCGGACTTATAACGCTAGAATCCGGGTTTCGATACCCGTGTTGGGCAGAGCACAGATAGCCTATTGTGTAGCTTTGTGCTTAATTACAAACAAACAGTTAAAGTAACGTGGTAGGTATATGTATATAAAATCTTAAAACGCATTCCAAGTACGAGCAAAGACAAAACATATAAAAATAAATGTCAAAACAACCTATAAATTCGTAGGTAGTGTACAACTGCATATTAGCATTCAAAAAGCGTTGAATATAGTTCGTCTCTTCAATTATACATCAACGTAGGTAAGAATTTGTCCTGAAACAACAGGTGAGCCTACTTGAAATTATTAAAAGGCCTGGTTCAGGTGCAGAAACTTATAATGTCTTAAACCTTAACTATACATTCATTGTCTACAGCTAATTATGGGATGGTATAGTTGTCCAGTAATGAAATCAGTTGAAAAACAGATTCTTACCCGCTTTGGCGTATAATTGAATGGCTATCTTCAATGCTAGTACGCTGCTTATGACTTTATAGTTTTTTTATTTCTGTATGTTTTGCCTTTGTGTGTATTTCGATTACGTTTTTAAGGTTGGATATTTTCACTTCACTGTTCTGTGGTCGCTTTCACCCACTTACACATGATTATGTTAAGTTCTCACTTTGTATGTGTATTACTACTATATGTAGTTATATATATACTATTTATTTCTAACAGCTAAAACAAAATGTACAAGTTTTTGTCTTTACCGATTAGATACAATGAACTTCAACTGTACAATAACGTCCTGAAGGTCAGTAATATATTACTTGACGTTACTGTTAAGATTTCTTAATTCAAAGCGCTCATCCTTTAAGACAAACACATTATTTCTAAATTCAAAGCGCTCATCCTTTAAAACAAACACATTATTTCTTAACTAAAAGACATCCACCCTTTAAGACAAACACATTATTTCTTAATTTAAAGCACTCATCCTTTAAGACAAACGTATTACATATCAATTAAATAAAAGCACTCATCCTTTAAGACAAACGTATTACATATCAATTAAATAAAAGCACTCGTCCGCTATGACAAATACTTTACTTCTTTAATAAAAGAATTCCATTATTTAAGACAAACGTAATACTTCTTAACTAAAATAAATCCATCTTTAAAGACAGACATATTACTTCCTAAGCAGAAGCACTCGTTATTTGAGACAAATCATTAATTTGTTCCAATTTTCAACATTTGCTATATAGTTTTCAAAAATCTCCCTGTCTCATATTTTTAACTTATGCAAATCTCAGAAAGTTATAAGTGGTCGTTGTTTTAACTAGTCTATTCCCAATATTGTATGATTTTGTTCGTTTTGTAGTTTTAGCGCAAAGCTACACAATGGAGTAATTGCGCTTTGTCCACCGCGGGTAATCGAGCTTAGAATTTTAACGCTATAAGTCCATAAACTTACCGCTGACCTACCGTGGAACATCTTTCATGGACTTACGCTTTACCACAGTTCAATATGTCTATGAGATATAATGTATCTAATTATTCTGTGCGTAATTGAATTATTTGTTATCAAGCATAAGTATTTAACTTCCTTGGTCCACTGTGGTTCAGTGGTAAACTACAAGGCTTACAACGCTAAAATTCGGAGTTCGAGTTTTGCGACAGCTAGTGATCAAGGAACTTAGTTCAAAACCATTACATAATTGTTAGAACTGTAGAAGACGTAATGTTTAGACATTATACGTCACAACACTTATCAGTTTTGATATAGATAAGAAAATGGTGTAATTCATTATACGTCACAACACTTATCAGTTTTGATATAGATAAGAAAATGGTGTAATTCATTATACGTCACAACACTTATCAGTTTTGATATAGATAAGAAAATGGTGTAATTCATTATACGTCACAACACTTATCAGTTTTGATATAGATAAGAAAATGGTGTAATTCATTTACTAGAATTTTCTTGCAAAGGGCTATTCATGCCAAGTCACTTGTAATTTTAAACTGGTGGACTAAAGGAAGCCAGCTTCTCAATAGCGCCCATCAGAGGGATTTGATCGCCAATCCTGGAGTTACTCGTGTTTCATTAAACATGTGAGATTTGATCGCCAATCCTGGAGTTACTCGTGTTTCATTAAACATGTGAGATTTGATCGCCAATCCTGGAATTATTTATGTTTCATTAAACATGTGAGATTTGATCACCAATCCTGGAGTTACTCGTGTTTCATTAAACATGTGAGATTTGATCGCCAATCCTGGAATTATTTATGTTTGATTAAACATGTGGGATTTGATCGTCGCACTTTTAGCGCGTCCTAAAGTGCGGATCCAGTTTTTGCGGCAATGGGGCGCGAACTACGAAACCTCGGTTTAACTGTCCCAACACGCTAACCACTCGGCTTATAGGATAACTAAATATAATTATGTAAGTTTGTTAAATAGACAGAGTCGTCCATAATAACGCACACAAAATGTATTCATTTTTTCTAAAATCAAATTTTGAATCCAACCTTACCGTAAGGTAAATTACCACGAAAGTACAGCCAAAATATACTTAATTATATTTATTGTTTCTTTACACACTTTAAAAAATCACGATTCACGAATTGAAGTGAAGTAAATCAGAAGTATATGATTTACGAGATAAGCCTAAAACTATAAACAGAATTGAAGAAAAAACAGAGACAATTGTACGTTTTAGAAAATCTTCATTTACTGGCAGAACCGTAGTCGTAAATAAATGAAACGTACAGTTGGCTTTGTTGTTGTTTTTTCAATTCTGTAATTATGGAGTTTCACCAAGTACCAATTATATATATATATATATATATATAATTTGTATGTTTGTTTTTAAGCGCAAAGGTACACAATGTGCTTACCGCAGGCATCGAATCTTGATTTTTATGTTATAAGCCCTCAATCTTACCGCCGAACCACCAAGGGGCATATATAGATATATATGTGTGTAAGTGATACTTGCAAAAACAGCTTGTTACATGAATGAGGGGATAAGAGACAATTTAACTTTATGATTTTCGGACCCAACCTTTAAGTAGAGCAAAAATAAAAGTCACACTAGCACTACTTTCGTTTCGTAGCATGTTGCACAGTCAGTAAATGATTGTTACAAGGCACGAGATTTACTTAGCAGACAATATCCATGAATGAACCACAGGTCATCTTGCACTAAACAGCAACTGTATGGGGTTAAACAGCTTGTCCCTTTTGACCTTTAGGTAAGACAGTATGTTGTTTAGAGTGTCACCTGAAGATAAACGAACTGTTCAGTTTCTCCTAAAACTGTTAACTGTTTTTATTTGTTTTGTTAACATTCGTCGGCAAGCGAAAAACGTCTGATGTACAATTTTGTGCAATATATTGAAAGCAGGTAATATAATGTATGAAAAGTTAAATTATTCTAATTTATGATAACGTATTTAAAAGCATTCAGTTAAAAGAGATATCAAATATTTAGACTATATTGTATTTATCTTTTAGCTAATAACTCCACACGCTATTAGAGTTCAAACTCCGCCTCGCCATATTCCTGGTGTTGTGGAAGTAACGTTGTCTTACAAGTCGAAACAGTTCTGTAAAGGTACACCAGGGAGATTTGTTTATGTCTGTGAGTATGTTTTCCCATTATGTTTATAACAATCTCGAATGTTGTTGTTGTTGAATGCGAATATATCATTAACCACATTTTAAGACTCTAATAATTTCGTCCGTCGTTTTACTGATGTCGTAAACACTACAACGTCTTTTATTGGTTATACCTATCATATCCTTCACATCATCCAACTACTGAATAACCATGAAACCATCAGCTATAACTATTATATCCGTGGACATCATCCAACTACTGAATAACCATAAAACCATCAGCTATGCTTACCATATCCTCCACATCATCCAACTACAAAATAACCATAAAACCATCAGATATTCCTACTATACCCTTCACATCATCCAACTACTGAATAACCATGAAACCATCAGCTATACCTACTATATCCTTCATATCATCCAACTACTGAATAACTATGAAACCATCAGCTATACATATTATATCCGTAGACATCTTCCAACTACTGAATAACCATGAAACCATCAGCTATACCTATTATATCCGTAGACATCTTCCAACTACTGAATAACCATGAAACCATCAGCTATACCTACTATATCCTCCACATCGTCCTACTACTGAATAACTATGAAACCATCAGCTATACCTATCATATCCTCCACATCGTCCTACTACTGAATAACTATGAAACCATCAGCTATGCCTATCATATCCTTCACATCATCCAACTACTGAATAACTATGAAACCATCAGCTATACCTATCATATCCTCCACATCGTCCTACTACTGAATAACTATGAAACTATCAGCTATGCTTACCATAATAAGAAATCCATTTCATATCATGTTTAATAATTTTTTAGCCTAACAAAGCTTTATCTAATTTCATTTTTCACCAGCTACCAACGAGCCCTCAATTGACTACGGTTTTCAAAGGCTTTCTAAATTAATCCCCAGACATCCAGGTGATCCCGAAAGGCTTCCAAAGGTAGGAACAAGACAACATTTGCTGGAATAACTTATGTTAGAAATGTGGTATGTAATTGGTTGAATGTAAAGTAGTCGGGTAGTTTTGTTTATATATATTACTTTGATAAGAATATTGTTATAAACATAACATTATTTATTTGGCTGAATGTACGTTATACGTATAGTTTTTGTTTAGATTACTATATTCTTAACCGACAATGAAGACAATCAGGCAATATATATAGACCTTGTTGATATTTCTTATATATATTTATATATAAATATATATAACTGAGTTGGCGTAAACACGTATCTATAATAAAACTTCTTACTTTTGTACGCTTTGTTTTTCAACAGTCCAATATTATTCTATCGCTAGAATACAGAAGAAGCTATAAGGAATTAAAACAACGAGGAGTAAACTTCACCACAATGGTTGTTTTAAGAAAGTTCAAATAACAAAATACATTGTTTCTGGAACTTCTGTGTTGTTAGGATCACCTTTCGTGACCTTCAGACATTTATGTTGATCACAAAATTTGTGAAGCAGTTTCGGTTTTAACCATGTACATAAGTTAACTTAGCTAGAGTTAGGTTCTAAATTCCCCTTTAAATATATCTAATCAAAAACGCCGGAGGTAGGAAAAAAAGTGTGGCCCAAAAAGGATTGAGTGAGCAAGTTAAAGGAATGAAATCAAAATTGGTGGCCAAACTGGTAGCTACACTAATAGTATTGTTAAAAATTTTACAGCAAATATTCATTCATTAGTTAGCCAGTCCGTGTTTTTTGTTTAACATGGGGCATGATGGTGGGTAATTAACAGTTTCTTGTCATCACCCCCATGCAATTGGTACAGCCATATCAAGCATCATTATTTACGCTAATTGCTTAAGGTAATATCACGTGACGCTAAACGCTCTTTAATTCGGATAATTTCATAACCTTTGGCAAATTTGTGCTGAAAGGTTGGCAATGAATAATTAATAATAACCGTCCACCCATATGATTCTTTTAAAAACTTGAGCTAGAAACTACTAATATAGTTTACTTGGCCTAACCAATACTTGTGTATCTGCACGTCCTTTGACCTTGTAGATTTGTTGCTCTAAATCAGCCGTCTTTAACCAGAATGACAAAAATTAAAAATGGTCCACTTTTACTCTTAGGTGAAGCTGTAGTAAAAATGTTAGACCGATAGCTCACGTGACGTTTTGCATAGGCGTGCGCAAAATCAAATTTGAGTGGTTTTTGTTGAATACCTTTGCACATGTGGCTTATATTTACACCAAATGAGATACCAAATTGTAGGTTGATAATATCTATCAGTGTATCAAATTTGAAAAAAAAATATCCATAAAAGTAAGTATGTTTTTCTATCAAATAAAGTTTCCGTAATTTTGGTGCGGAGAAACAAAAATAGGAAGAAACTCAATTAAAATTGGAGATGTTATATTTCAAGTATTTCTTAATGGATTGCCTTGAGATTTGATATGTCTAGTAGAATACATCTGCTGAAAATATATGATAGTTTGGATTACGACAGTCCGAGATACAGAAGGTAGACTAAACTATCACTCCTGTTAATAACACACAGTGTGTCCTACAGCAGGTTGTTTTGGCCGCACGACACTCTACTGTATGTCTGGATATGGTTGCAGGATGTGTGCGTCTCTGAGGGAAATGATCTTACTAACTAAATCGTGATAAGCAAAGCACGGCATTAGGATAGATTTTTCTCTCTTTAATAGTGCTTTGTTACACGAACTTCTAAGTTTTTATTCTGTGTGTTTATGTGTAGCCACGATTCCTGTCCCACAGAACGAACATTGGCAGTGACCAAGTGGCTATCATGCCGAACTGCATACCGAAATGTCCAACGTTCGAGCCCACGGCATGTCGTTTTACACACCCTGCACATTCTGTTGTGAGCGCGTAATAATAATATAATCTCTTATTCATTTGAGAAAGATCATTTAAGTGGCTGGTGCTTCTGATTGGTTGTCCTTTGTCTGCTCAGCAGTTCTTAATTAAGGACAGCTGTACCCTAACCTTGGGATCCCTGACCTGGCCGTTCACCCCAGATGTTGTACAAGATGTCATTAGATTGGAAACGCTTAGTACTAAATCACTTGTAAGAACTTTTTCCAAAAGTTATTTTAAATGTGAACTCCCTGTCTAATAACGAAACATGCTGTCGCCTTGTATTTCGACGTTCTATCTCGGACTGATAATAAACTAACACATGTTAGAAAAAATACGTCATCGTCACCTGTAAAATAGTCCGCTATGAAAGTGAGAGTTTTTTCAAACAGAATATTTGATATTTAAACATATAACTGGGCTGAATGTTTTATAATCATTCGATAATTTCAGATTTTGATCTGACATCCGTGGTCAAAGAATCACAGTGTGCCAACATTTTGAAAGTAACAATTAAAGTCTGTAATCTATGTTGAAAGAGAACGTGTAGATTTCTAAACATGCTGCTCAACATGAAATACAGAAAATAAATCAACTAATTTGTATTTGTTAAGTTTCTTTCTCCTACGTTAACGATGTATCCGTTAGTTACACGTGTTTAATATTCAATTTTTTATGGTATTATCCTGAACAATATCAAATCAAATTCTAATACAAAAAGTGATCAAATTAGTATAAGAGCTGTAAGAAAAAAGGTCCACTTTAATGTAGAATCTGTAAGAAAAAAGGTCCACTTTAATGTAGAATCTGTAAGAAAAAAGGTCCAGTTTAATGTAAGAGCTGTAAGAAAAAAGGTCCACTTTAATGTAAGAGCTGTAAGAAAAAAGGTCCACTTTAATGTAGAATCTGTAAGAAAAAAAAACGTTCAATTTAATGTAGGAGCTCTAAGAAAAAAAAACGTCCAATTTAATGTAGGAGCTCTAAGAAAAAAAAACGTCCAATTTAATGTAAGAACTGTAAGACAAAAATGTCCAGTTTAATGTAAGAACTGTAAGACAAAAATGTCCAGTTTAATGTAAGAACTTTAAGAAAAAAAACGATCCAGTTTAATGTAGGAGTTATCGTAAAAGGGCCTAGTTTCGTATTAGAAATATAAAAAAAACTTTTGATATCCGGATGCTGTTTTCTTTTAAACCATTCAATAATTTTGTTTGTTTGTTTAGACAAAACTGCTATTATTTTTTTTATGAGAAATAAAATAGGCGCTGAATGCTGAATTATATTTAAACATGAATAGAAAAAACATGAGGAAGAAAACACAGGTAAACAGAACTGTTAGAAACAGTTCTTCACCAAATATTTAGTTTGTACTTTGGACGATACTTTCTGTTAGATATAATGTGTAGAATCGAAACCCCATTAAGATTTAATACACGCTTGAGCAGAAATATGGATGAAAAGTATTATCGTAGATTGAAAAAAAAAGTGATGCCACTTTTTAGTCTTTTTTCATCCTTTGAAATGTATTACTTACAATTTAGTTTGTCTATTTTTTTTTCAAATCATGTAAACGTGGTTTCCCAAGCTAGGGTCTCAAGAGATATTGGAGTGGGTTGCATAACAAGACATATTTCAAAATTATTTATTTATGTATGATCCTAAAATATTTTTAAACAAATAAAACAATAACCACAACGAACAAAAAAAGACACAAGATATAAAAGCAGTACCAGATTTCATTAAAATATTTAACAGTAACCCCACTTCCATATTTGAGCATGGCCCCCCAAAACTGCCTGTCTACTCAGGGGTCTTGAGTTGAAAAAGATTGGGTCTAGCTATCAGGACTCTTAAACTGGGAAAGATTAGGAACCAAATCATAGACCATCTGCATTTGAAACACAACAATAACAGTTTAAACCGTTAGTGTAAAATATGATATAGGCTGTGTAAAATATCACGGGATTTACGCCTTTTTAACGTTTCGACGATTAGCTTTTGTCATTGATAATAAAAACATCCCCTGTGTGTTTTCTTGTAGGAGATAGTTCTAAAACGGGCGGCTGACTTGGCCGAAGTGTTATACAGTATGCCTCGGAATAATCAACTTGCTCTCCCAGCTCCAAGATCCCCGTCTTTGAACAGCGCCACCGCAATGTCCAGTTTCAATGCTTATACGGGTCAGTTGGCGGTTAATGTCCAGGACAATGGGACGGGTAAGTACAAAAGTTATATAAGCAGAATAGAAACAGTATATTACTCCAGAGAATCGAACATTAAAAAAATCTACAAACCCTTTTAACTTATCAACACCTTCAAAATTTTTGAAGTATTCCAAAAACATTTCGGACATAAACCCAACAAGTGACGCTTCCATGAAATTGTTTGATTTGGTTTTTACAGATTACGGCCGGACTCAAGCCAATATGCTCTCTCCCAGGGGTTACGGAACCCACCCCTCCACAGCACACAACAATAACGGGAGCTCTTACGGTGCTGGCACGATGAATGGAAGTTACGGAAATCCAGGGAATCTTGGAAACATGGCGGTGGCAACTTCTCCTTGTCTTCTCAATGGGACCTCAAGTAAGGCACTTTCGAAAATTTTCTTCGATGTAAAAGAAAATAATATACATATATATATATATATATATATATTTGCTAGGATTTAATGTAAGCGATGTATTAACTGTTTTAGCTGAGATTCTATATTCAGTGAGATATATACGTTTAATTTTATTATTTCGTTTCTGTTTATCATGTTATAGGAGTTGGAAGTATAGCCCCTTTTGCAACAATGAACCCTTTCGCTCTCCCAGCCTGCAATGGACAGTCCTACGGAGGGTCAATTGTATCATCTACCAAATGACCTACGTGGGTGTGACGTCAACCATTTTTAACAAGTGGAGCTTCTTCTGCAAAGACACTGGCAAAAAGATTATCATGCTATATAACGAAATGCCATTGGCCCACCTTTTGTTGACGTCATCATAGTTGAATCTCTTTAATAGACAGGAGTTGTGAAGTGACTGTTTATAACATGTAACTTAAAAGTAATTGCGGCTACTAACTCGATTATTTGTGAACCTGCAAAAGCTCTATGCTAATTTTTAACCTGGTAGAATTCTGCGCCAAAATGAAAAACAAAAAGTATGGCGCTGCTGTCACATTGTCTTGTAATTATGATAAACCAGAATCAGGACATTTCAAAATATTGGCATGTGTATTGAATATTGAAGATACGAGTGGTTTTGTATATACATCTTTTTTTTTCCGTAATTGAACAGATAAGGCATTTGTTTCTTCTGCTGTTGATACCGTACTTTCAATTTACACAGTATACAACGAGAACTTAAGTGAGAAGGTGAACATGGATTTTGATGTTTCAAATGATTATGGTTAAATTATGCTGTAATTAAACACAATAAGCCGAAAGTCTCGTCGTTTGTTATTGTCAACCGTTAGAAACAAACCAAAGATTCTACATTCGATGTTAATAAACAAACTATTATGAAAATCTGCAAGCCAAGTCTTAAGTTTGGTAACCAAGGGTGACAGACTGAAAACCTACGTTTAGTGTTAGTGAATAAACGAACATGTCGGCTAACAAGCCACGTACGAGTCTGATAAGAAAGCATAACAACCTGAAGAATACCTACTGTGAATCATGAAACGTAGATCGTATAAGATGGCGGAATATCCATGCTGGACATACTGAAGTGGATACCTTGTAAGACGTGTCTAACTTAAAAATTATACACTTGTGATTACGTCTAATGAAATTATACAAAGAGTGACAAAATGGGCTTTATATTTCATATTTATCAATAGGTATAAAGAGATAATAGATATAAACCCTAAAAATGATAGACATAAACCATAATGGAACGAAATATAGCAAGTTAAGACTCATCTTAACTGGTCACAAGCAAACAATGTTATACTGAGTGGCGTATTTCATGTTCACAATCAAGGGTGATTAACCGATTTTCCTATATGAAAGTCATCCATTCTGTTAATAATGGAGGAAGACAGGTCCAAAATGGCGTCTTTACTGTTAACAACGGAGGAAGACAAACTAAGAACAGCAAACTAAAACCATGTCTGATATTTGTTGATAAGTTTTGAAACTGTACTATTATCATCTTTGAACAATTACAATATATAATAAAAACATTTTTATCTATTGTATAATATATAAACCGATATATATAGCTTGATGATAGGGTTTTCCTTAATTTCTTGTGAACGTCTTTAATGTTGTATGGGTTATCAAGGCTCACGTGTATCTTTTGTTGATCATGTGAATTATGTGAAAAACAAAGATAAAATAGAATTTTTCATTCTGTAAATATATGCGCATATGGTGATCTGTAAACGATTGATTAAATTTCTCGAATATTCTTTACTGTACATGTAATCCTTTAAAACGGGTGAGAGTTTTATGCAAAATAATACATTTTGAGCCAAGTTTTGCACGTCAGTTTTTAGTGACTGTTTTCAGATGACCAGACAGAGATGAAACATACGAAAAAGTACAGAACCATTCTTAAAACGCAAGCTTGGACATTAAATCAAAACCGTTAAGTCGAATTCCGTTATGTTCGCTACAACACCTAGACAATAAACTTGAGCTTTATGTCTATTAAAAGCTTCCTTTACACAGATTTTTGATGATAAAACGATAGAGTAGTTTCGTCATCTCGTAAAAAGTAAATTGTTGCTGTTATAAAAAATTGTAAAACGTGAGTTACGATGAGATCTATCTTATTTATAAGAAGTGTTAATTTACTATTAACTATCCTGTAAATTATGGAGTATCATAAAATTGGAGCAACACTTTTCTACATGTTAGTTGGGATCGTATTAAAACTTGGTTTAGGTTGACTTTGGTGCTTTGCAGCCCCTGAAACTTTAGTGAATAAACTTAGTGTATGTCTTAGATATCAAAATAACATCTGTGTTTAAACCTATGCCTGTGTACCTTAAAAGGTCACAAACCACTCCAAACGTTGATAAGTAAGATTGATACGTTTATCATGTGTCAGGTTTTTGTCCCTCTCAGATGAAGTATGTTTCTGAAATGGACTTTTAAATTAAAATTCTTAAAAATTGTATGAATGTTTTTATGTAAGGCATTACAAGAATAAATATCAATTTTAAAATGTAAAAATTTAACCCATTTTTGCTGAAATTAATCTCTTACTAAGTGTCTTCGAAAAACAACAACAAGAGTATATATAAATAACATTAATGTTTTAATTTATAAATTTATATTTTATAGTCAAAGATCGGCAATAATAAATTACACCTCAGTTTGTTATATAGAATTCCGAGTAAATTTGTTAAAATAGAGTTTAAAAAGTTAAAAATAAAACTGATATATTTTTGAGTCTTTTACAGATTTCGCGAAGAGATTGAAAAGAAGTTCGCGATATTACGAAAATGCTATTACATTTTTAGGAATCCCAATTTAACGTTCGGTTTAGAGAGATGTTCCAATTAAAAGAAATAAAACAAACAATATTCATAGACTATGAAAACTTATTTATACATAAGAATAGAGTGAAAGAGTAAGTAAAAAAGGCTTAATTGGTTAAATTCAATGAACAGAGTGTGTAATAGGGATTAATGCATCATTATCAACGTAACAAGGGGAAAGTGCGCTCTGCAAATTAGTAATTGTTAAGAGAATAGGACACTATTCCCCGCGCTTTTTGATACATGTGTTTTCCATCTTCCACTCTTCTGTTCTGTCGAACGTTCTTTATTATTGTGATTCCAGGTTTAATTTTTGGTCAAGGGGGTTTCACATTGGTGTCCTGTAGATCAGAATTTCCTGCTGCGTTGCACTTTGATAAATAAGAGAAGACCCATTTTGCCATATTGAGGCATTTTAATATATATATACGAAAAACATGCGTAAAAGGTATTATTCAGTTCTCAGGTTCGTACATGCGCCTAAGCTTCTTCTGCCATTATAATAAAACCCACTTACGATGATATAGCATTACAATTTTTATATTTATTAGAACAATAGGTTATCATGCTACTAAGCTACCCTACTTTCGGGAGAATTCAGTTTAATTATTTGTTTAATATATCTTAGCCTTGAAGAAAATTTCAAATACTAGCCCCAACAGTGGCACAGTGGTTTGTCTGCAGATACCCGTGGTGGGCAGAGCACGACTAGCCTTTTGTGTAGCTTTGTGCTTAATAACAAACAAACAAATTCAAATACGAGATAAATCAACGTAACCATTTTGTTTCGAGGTTTCTAAAACAATTTTTCGTCTTACGGCATGCAATTACTTAAAAAATACTAGGTTTTAATAATTTTGTAGATATAACAGGGTGACGGGTATAAAGGTGAACATAGTTTAGTAATTTACAGGCTGTGTAAAGTGACAGATTTGCTTATAGAACAGTAGAGGTCACTAAACGCTAACATGAGTAACTTACGCACACATATCTAAATGTTGACTTGAATATTTATAAATATTATTAACAATAACAAATCCTTCTGTTTCAGTGTATGAGCAGTTTCTGTTGATATAGATATGTAAACAGAACTTCGGAAGAAGGTGGCTGAAAAGATTATTTTATAGATATGTAAATATAACTTCGAAAGAAGGTGGCTGAAAAGATTATTTTATAGATATGCAAACAGAACTTCGGAAGAAGCTGGCTGAAAAGATTAATTAATGTATACAACAATCCATTTTAATTCAGAATATAAAATAAAATGTAAGAATTGATACAGAGCTATGCAGTGCTAAGAAAAAGAGCATTACAATAGAATACAAATAATGTGCTTAATCAGCTAAGAGGTTAGAGTTAATTACTAGAATTACTGAGTTATTTCGTACCATGAAAAAGGCATTAAGTAAATTAAGCGTAATTTACTTAGTCAGGTAAAGGGTTAAGTCACTTAAACAAAAAGGGGGTTTCTTGGAATCGCTGACCCAATTCTTAAGAGAACGTGTTTTTATTTAATTTGCACACTTACTAAATCTCAGAAATATCTGAGTAACTTCATTGTGCGAATTAAATATAGATATTGAACTATGCTAAATAAATGAACGTAAAATGACTGACTTTATTTTCTAAATCAGAAAGAAATTGTCAAAAGAAGTTGTCTGTTCCTTTTCTGATTTGTACAATTAAAAATGCAAACTTTTAATATTCGACTTGAAAGAATCTACCATGTTTAATGATTTTCATATCCAAAATTAACTATGACAGTTTCTTTAAAGTTGGTTGTTTTCACAAGAAAGCCTTTTCTGTATTACTCTCAAATTTAAAAGCTTTTAATAGGTATATAAACACATTGGAACGTATTTATATAATTGAATCCCAGCTTACATTAGCACACCTAGTATATGATGTTTCTACTTCCTTCTCGTCAGATGTTACATAAGTAAAGAACATTTCATCTTGTTGCTTCCCCCTTACAAAACACATTTCTGATTGATGACCTTGACACAGCGAAAAGGTCACAAAAATGTTACCATTTTGATTTAAAAAATGATGAATAAACATTTTCCAGGAGCACAATAATAAGAAAGGATGACATAATCAAAGCTCCATGGTTCTGAAAGGTGGCAGCAGTCGTATCTGATCATTGAATAGAGTCACCTCTACAGGTAAATAATTTAACTAATTATTCAGAATTTTAATATAAAAACAAATCGACCGACAGACCCAAATTTTTCAGGAAAAGTTCGAGAAACAAGATATTTGTTTGAACTGGGCTTAGAACTGATTACTTGAATTACACAGTTATGCACTACAGCAAATTAAATGCAATTTGCTTAACCAGGTAAAATGTTAGAATTGATTATTAAAATTACAGAGCTATGTGGTAACGTGAAAAGGGGACTACAGTAAATTACAAGTAAGTTGCTTAATCATGTCAAAGGTTAGATATGGTTACTATAATTACATATCTATGCGGTTTCAAGAAAAGCCATTACTGTAAATTAAACATAATTTGCTTAATCAAGTCATATTTCATACAATCTGTAATTCCTACTATTTTAATGGCTTGGATATACATTACCTTAGAAATCACCAACCTTTCGTGAGATCTCAGATCTGCCCTTGTAGTAAGTAAATAATTAGAGAAATTGCATTAAGAAAAGAACGTCTTTATCTGTTTTCTTGTGATAATACTTCAATTTCAACGGGTTTGTTTTGTATGTGTACCGTCATGTTTATGTGTGCAATAAATTCCTTTCATTTTGATGTTTCCATTGATTGTTGTGAGTCTGTTTCGTGGTAGACAAGAAAAGTCACAAACTTGTGAAAATAAAAATTCTGAAATGGTTTTTAACTGAATAACATTAGTAACAGAAATATGAATCTTAAGTTTTCAGTAGGAGTGTGGCGACACAGCGTATCGTGATGACGTGATACGATACGATTTATGTATTTTCACGAAATTTGGCAAGCTTTCAATAAACATGATAAGTTTATTGTACAGAAAAAATCAGAATTTTTAATAAAGTATTTTTACTAAAAATTAATGTTTTAATATATGGAGTCAAAGTAGTCATTGCTCTGAGTGTAAAGCGATTTTCATATTAACATTAAAAATACTTTTATCATCTAAAAATTAACAAGTTTCTTTTGTGTAATCTCTGAAACTTCCGAAATAAATTTCCAACTTTTTTTCGATAAATCTTCATATTTTATCTGCTATGTTTACTACCATTATTTTATGCGAAGTCAGTCAGTTTCACCAGCCTCGTAACTACTATAGAATATACAATATAAATCAAAATTATCCTTTTTTTCTTTCTAGAATTACTTCAAATTTCAGCATTTGCTTACACTAAATAACTCCAAGCTCTTAACATTATACAACTGTTTCTAATTAAGTTTTATTGTTATATTGTCATTTAAAAAGCACTGTACAGTGTGAATTACTTAAATAAGACAATTTTAGTAATATAGATAATAAATTACAGACAAGACTTTCAAACTTTTAACAAACCCTTGGTAAAACTTTTGTATCTAGATACGTATCGTATCTGCCCTAGTTTTTAGTAAGATAAAAACCACGAGTTTTGTTCTTTTTCACAAAGTGTAGCAATATATTGATACAAGAAATCTATGAATCCGGTTAAAGATATGAGCTTGAAATAATGTAAGAAATTTTACACATCATAATCATTCAGTCAAGCAAAAGTAAATTTTCCTCCTCCCCAGTGGTTCAGTAATAAGTCTGAAGACTTATAACGCTAAAAACCGAATTTTGATACCCGTAGTAAGCATAATACAGTCAGCCTATTGTGTAGCTTTTTGTTTAATAACAAACAAACAAACACAAAAATATATTGTTGCAGAGATAACTATAAATATCTAGAACAACAGAACATGATCATTTAAAAAAAAAGATTCTGTCACTCATCACGGGCCTCGCTTTGTATCTTGAATAAATTTAGTAAACGATATAAAATGAATATATCAAGATAGAAGATGTATTAAAATAATGATTGATAAAGCACATATGCTTATCTGTCTGGGTTCCAGGGTTGGTCAGTAGTAAGTTTATAACGTTAAAATCCGACGTTCAGTTCCCTGCTTGGACAGAATGCAGACACTCCCTTGTGCTAAAACCAACAAACAACGATATGTTTAGATAGCTTATGGGTAGTGTGTTTTGGGCACATAAAAAACTTAAGCTCTTTTGCCGCCTTCCCTGGGCACGCAGTTATTATATAATAGCTTATTTTGGTATTAACGCCTCATAACTTTTTTCCTGCTCAACACGCAGAATAATATAAAGGTACTTATGTATACTATTTAGTTTGTTTATTTTAAGTGTCCAGTGCTGGTATCGAAACCTGATTTTTTAGGGTTATAAAACCTCAGACTTACTGCTTAGCCACCAGGGGAGGAGCATAATGAAATGGCCGTAGCTTGCAATATACATTGTACAAAAATCTAATTCCAATTAAACATACATACTAAACGTTCTAAGTGATAATGAGTTAGTAAATATGCCTTCTCTGATTTAAGAGCGCTTACTTATCATTATAGTTAGTGTTGATATATTGAAATTAAAATCTTATTTCTTTTATTTGTTTCCTTATCATAATATCAATTAATGCAAAGAATAATGTTGTCGTCACCACATGTCGCTCAGGATTAAATAAGATCCTTAGTTGTTTTAAATGTAGCTAATGAACATCAAATACATGAAGTTTAAGTTTGTTGAAATAGGACAAAGCAAATTTTAAGACAATGTCACGTTGCTACGAATGGCTCTTCCATCAGTAGTTTCGTAGATTGAAAATTTGTAATATCTACTGAAGTACTACATTTAGGGTAGTAAACTTAATGTAAGTTAAAAAGCGATAATTCAAGGATGGCAACTTCTGATAATAAACTTTAAATCAATTTACTGCTGGACAGAGGGGGGAGGGAACGTTTATTGGTGTTGACTTAGGTGAATTAATGGCACTTCCTTGTTTTTTAGTTGATTTTACTTTCTTTTATTCAAATAATCACCCAAAGCATTTACTCTATATATTGCTCAGTTTCCTTGGGATAGAATCATCCACAAATTTAAAACAAGTAATAAAAAAATGTTGCAAAATTAAGTATGATATAAGGATAAAAATGTTGCAAAAATTAAGTATGATATAAGGATAAAAATGTTGCAAAAATTAAGTATGATATAAGGGAAAATTTTGCAAAATTAAGTATGATATAAGGAAAAATGTTGCAAGAAAAGTATGATGTAGCAATGGCAATGCCAAAAAAAGTACAGAAATAAGGTAGGGATGAATACACAAAACCACAATTTCTCCATAAGTAGCCAGTACATACTGAGTCAATCTTATAAGCTTATTATGGTTATTAGCCATTGTAAGACTGTATAGCACTATTCAGTTTATATGCTTTTATTCAAACCTGAATTCATGCAACAGACAGGAATTTAACGCTTAGTTGTAGATAAAAGTCATTATTGAAAAGATTTGGCTACTTATGTATTGATTTTTGTATGGTTTTGTGTCTTCATCCCTACGTTATTTCAGTACTTTTGGCATTGCCATCCCTATATCATGTTTAATTTTTGCAAAATTGTTTTTATTACTTGTTTCCCCTCTTTTGTTTAAACAATTTCATTGAATTAGGTTGA